TGCCTCTGAATGCCAGTTGTTGTCTTCCTAATGTTTTAGCGATGTCCAATAATATCTTTATTATCTCCTGGTTTCGTTGGTTGTTTTCTTCCTCTTGAATTTTGGCCGCCCTCAATTGCTTATTGAGCATAACATCGACATGCTTTATGTTGTGTGCAAATTGGGCAAGATCGCTTAATGCAGCTTTATGCGCTTGGCTTGAGAAGTGCTGTGCTAATTTCCCTTTCTATTCCTTGCCGACGCTTTTCATTTTGTCCCATCCTTTAACGCCTTTAACCCAAGCATCAGAAGATCGCTCTCTACCAACTCCAGTTGGAAATAGACAACAAGCAAAACACGAGGCTGTGTCTTCTTTCACGCTATACTCTAGATGTGGATATTTCTTATACCACCCGCTTGAAAATCTACACTGTTTTTTTGTTGAGATGTCTTGGCTTTCTGGATAACGCTTCAACTTTGGCTGGTAGGGGCCATTCTCGATGATCTTTTGTTTCTGTTGGTCGCTGAGTGTCCGAGGGCGGTCAGCAGGATCTTGAAGAGAGGTAAAATCAGCGTCAACTTGAGCCATGCCAATTTCTAGGTTATTTCACGAATTTTGTGAAGCGTAGTTGCACAGTTTTTCTCCATATTTGTTGAATGTTCTCTTACTTTTGAAATTGCCTCAAGTACATCCGTCAACAGTTCTTCAGGGTAAATAACCTCAGATGATAAAGCTTTTGTTATAATACTATCGCACTGGTGAGAGTAATCTACTAATCGCTTGATTTCTGCTGCATGCACTATCCAAGGAATCTCTGGATCATCTGAGACTTGTATGTCAGGATCATCGCGTGCTCTACCATAATTTGTGTTAATTGTTTCACTGTCAGTGTCAATCTGTTGTCAGTAAAAGATAAATGTAGTGTATAAGGCGGCAATGAGGATTAGTTAAAAGAGTGAGCTATACATATAGCATGTAAGATTGTAAGAAAAATATAGATAACGTTTTTTGCGAGTTTCTAAGCAGGTTGGAAATAATTTGGAATTATACCAGATATTTTCCGTACTTTTTTATGCGGTAAAGTTTAAAAAATATCAAAAACAACATTTGAAAAAGTTCCATGAAACTAGCACTCCATGTAAGTGTAACGTCTATTACAAGTAGAATTACAATCACCTCTTCTTCCTCTGATTCTGAAATTGACAATATTGTTGATACTGCCTGTGCCTGGTTCACATCGTCATAAGACACCGTTGTATTACACTCATCACCTCTTTCGTCATTACATATGTTATGAACTGCCGTTTCATGATGATCAAATTCAAGGACTAATTCTCCGTGCATCAATACTTCATCTTCATCAACATGTTCAATTTGAACTTCCTGTGTATAATGACGGTATTCAAATTTATAATAACAAAATTTAGTTATATTCTTATAAATTCGAAATAAAATTTCCTAATTCTTGTTTAAACTTTATTTACCTTTTGAAATACATCCTCCTGGTGTTCTAAAACTGTATCACTGAATGACTCTTCGGACTGGCGATTTATAGTGTTGTCGGTAACTGTAGCTACTGAAACTGGAAGTAACTCTTTCTGAAATTAACAACAGATTGTAATTAGTTCCCGTTAAAACCATAGCGGTATCAGCCATAAGGGAATTTATTTTTACCTTTCCATGTATATTGTTGCAAAATTGAAGCGTTGTTTGAGCCAGATCAACCACAACTTTTGAGGTGCCGAGACCCTTGTGTTTGTTTGAGTTATGCTTCTCAAAATGATCGCTGTTCATTTCTTTCCCACATTTATTGCATTTGACTTTACATCTGTACTGCCTTTTCCGTTGAGTTTTTACCTTTTTTTGAGGAGGGTCCGGTGCAACGTCTTTGTCTTATCGAAACAAGATCGAAAAAATCGAAAGGCAAAATCAAATCGGGCACTTTACAAATTACAATTTGCAAACATTCAACAGTGACATTATAATTGATATTAAAATTATAAATTATAACATACCATCCATTTCATTTGCATATTATGTCGGATACACGTTAGCACGTCGTGAGCTGTGAGCAGATCTTTAAAACATAACAATGAGTCATAAAAAGCACTAAACCGTGAATAAACTTTCACATTTTCGTCTCGTTTGCATAACAACAAGACGCTCTCTCGAGCGTTAAGTTGCTGGGGCTTTTTAAATAGGCGCCTGCGTGATTTGCAACGAGCGGTAAGAGTATATCCAACGATTTGTGGGCTTGATTTGTAATTGTACATAAGTTTATTAAATAGTGACACGTTGCGACATAATGTATACAGCAAATTTAATTAACTAAGGGACGGACCATTAGAAAAGTGATGGGGGGGGGGGATTTTCTAAGAGGCAATATTTTTTTTGTACACCTATAGAAATTTTTTTTCTCACTTGATGGCTGGAAATATATTTTTTTATTAAAATTTATAGGCCTATCTTCCAAGAAAGGAATTTTTTTGCACTATGCCTGGGAAGATTTTTTCCCCCTAATTTTTTCCTGGGAATAAATTTATTTTTTGGTTTTGCCCCCCCCCCCATCACTTTTCTAATGGTCCGTCCCTAAGGTCGTCCTTTCAATGAAGTGGAATCTCACAATCAGGTCCGTTGCACAAGAGTTCATCATATCGCTGAACTGAAGAATTCCTACAGGTCATAAAAGAGATCCACTGAAGAATTCCTGTTAATACCCATGAAGAGAAACCCTGGAAGAATCTCAATTTTTACATTTGACCCCTGAGAAAATCTCATTCAATATATCCATTACCGGATTACCCCCAAAGAATTCCACACAGAAATTTGCTTATCCCTGAGGAATTCCAAAGCTAAAAATTTATCACCTCATTCCAGCAGAATTGAAAGCTGAAATAGCCCATTTTATGCTGGCACTGTGGCACAAGTGTACATACTTGGGCCTTGGGCTATAATAACCCTTATTCATATTTGAGGATAAATACAGATTTGTGTATTTTTATTTTAACTTGTTTATCAGACAGTTAAGGACTAAGGAGTCGTTTGTGAATTAACCCATTGATTGACAGCACTCTCTCCCCGATGAGTAAAATCCTTGGCATTAGACACAGTAAAATAATAAAGTAGGTTACATGAGGGTACATTGCCACTTAAAGGGTTATATGATATGGACAATCGCATATATTGGATTATTGGTGCGGAATTTAGCTTTTTGCACCTAACTTATGCATGCGATAGACAGTGGTTATATTTCACCTCAGGGCCGTAGCAACCAGGGGGGGGGGGCTGTTTGAAATTGTAAATTTCGACATACTAAAATGCTGTTTTCTGACCATCGGAATTCTGTCAAATCTTTCCCAAAGTTCAGGAAATGGCATTTCAGAGACTCTAAATTTAAAATTTTCCTTGGGCCTTTGGCCATTGCTTTCAGTTCCCCAATCAAAAAGAGCTTCCCACAGCACTGCACTCCCTGAGCTATTGGCATTAAAATTTTACATAACTTTATATTAGCAGTCAGTGGTGTAGAACTGAATCGCTAACAAAGAGGGCCCTCAAAGAGGGGGGGGGGGAATGACAAGACGTGGGGTAACCAGGCATTGAGGGTGCAACATGGTAAATATGGATAGTTCCAGTATTCACTTTTGGTTCTAGCAATTCTTCAATTGGTGATTTTTAACTAAAGGGCTTAACATCAAATAATACACTCCAAAATATTGAAGCTATTACATGTTAGAGCTACATAAATATCATCAAATGGTTAGATACTATAACCAGAATAATAATTGGACCTTATGTAATGTTAACATAATACAGCCAATGGCTGCAAGGTTTATCAATTAAAAACATCTATCTAAGAAATACCAATCCAAGATTGTGTGTCACGCACCTCGTATGTCACTTCAAAACAGCCAACATTTGAGCCTTCTTGAAAATAGAGCTAGCATGCAAATATGACAGTTCCAATACATGTAAACAAATACGATTTTTATGCAGACTATTGGAGCAACCAGGACTATAAGCCATATTAAAGCGTATATAGATGTAAAACTTCACAAAACAAAAATATAAACGTTCAGAAATAACGGTTCGACGAATAAATAACACAGTTATTGTCAGTTAATCCACCTCGGAATCTACTCCACTCCTCGATAGTGAAACGTCGACATAATTCTGTATATTCTTGATGGATTTCATTCAAAAAGCCCCCAGAAGAAAAAGCGTGATTGAAAGAACAATTTGACGTTCACTTTATACACTTACGAAGACTTTAAGACCGTTAAAATAGCGAAAATGTATGCACGTATTGCTTCGTATATAGATCAGTGGGAATTTCCATTTTGCGACTATCCATGGAGAAGGAGAAGGAGAAGGAGACCAATTTCACCCGAAACCTATAGTTGCTGGCACAGGTGCCCCAGCAACTAATTACACATTTACACGTTTTCGATATTGAGCCCGCGGTATCATCGTAAAGGTTTATATAGTACTTCATTTCTTGCTGATTAATAAAATGTATGATCCAAACACGCTAAGAACAATGCTAAAAACAAAACTCGGTCGTCGGTCAATCTTCAAATTCTGCTATACGGTTTTTTCGTTGTTTACCTACGGTAAAGCAAGGTAACCTTGCCCAACAAATAGCACATGCTTTGAACAAGTTGCCCGACAAAATTGCATTTGTAAACATTGGGGGGGGGGGGGTGTCACACACCCCCACACCCCCCAGGAGTTACGCCCCTGTGTATAGTACAATTGAAGAAGTTGGGACATGAGTTACTATATCGACATTCGCTGCGCTCTTGACCTTGAGAGACAAGGTATAGTATTCCGGAATTCCCCGAACCTCGTGTTCCTGGATTCCTATTTTTTAAAACAACTGGAATCTTGATTTCTCGGAATTTTGATTCCTCTTTTTTTAGATACTGAACAAATATGACTTCAATTCTTGTGAAACAAATTCAATTTACAATTTATATTCTATAAATATATTGAAATTTGGCGAATTTTGGCCAAGAAAGATTTGCTAAGCATCACTTAAAAACGTAATGAAATGTTAAAATACTAAATGTTTAAAATATTTTGTGGTCCAGTAATGGGAAAGTTCCCGGCATTCGCTTCGTCGACCTTTCTTTGCGGTTGGCCTCTGGCACCACATGAGAATCAGAATTTTAGTTCACAAATCTATTAAATAATACGCTGATGATAAATTAGTGATCACCCGAATTAAATTGCGTGTTTCTGCATGCACGTCTGGGAAGGTAAAAAATTAATCAATCCAAAACCTGTATAAATAAATAAATATTATATTGCATCATTATTAATGCATTTTTGAGGAACATTCAAACACTTGAAGCATATGTAATTTAACCCATTAAGTTTAATCATTGCGCCCCAATGCGCCCTACTGTATTATTTTATGGTAAATATAAAGATTTTGTTGGCCATATCTCACCAGATTGAATATAATGGTTGAAAGGTCTCGTAGATAGAAATTATCGAGTGGAAATTTATATACATTTATTAGACCCATTAACCAGGAACAGCTGCAATAAATCCCTCTCTAATACTCCCTTCTCTTTTGCATTCCCCCCTTTAATAAGCCTTCCTCTCTAATATGCCCCTGTCTCACAACCCTCATAAGCTCCTCTATCATATGCTCCCTCACTCATAAGCCCCCTTTCTAATACACACACCTATTTCATAAGCTCCATCTCTAAAAAGCCCCCCTCTTGTGACCTTCGTCTCTCATAAGCCCCTCTAAGGCATGATCGCAGAGAGATGCGTGATTTGTCAGAGCATTGCGTCAGAAAGGTTGTGGAGCATTGGAAGACGGCAGCTCCTTTGTCTGCTTCTTGTAAGTCCCTGTTCTCGAGTGAGTATTTCATAATTTCGATACCCAGCGCAAGCAGAAAGATAAAGTCTGCCGCGGCTGGGCCTTGAATCCACGACCTTCGAATTACTAGATCGACTTTATCTTTCTGCTTGCGCTGGGTATGGAAATTATGAAATACACACTCGAGAACATTTCCTACTTATCATATTACGGAGTGAACAATAACACGACATTATAGCCTACATTTATTATTTTACTCTGTTAAAACAGTCTTGTCCCAGTTACATTTTATATGAAGCTGTGTGTATGTATTGCATCAATTTTATTATCAGAAATCATCAGTTATTATTACATGTGCAACGTCTTTATCTTAGTTCTGAGAAAACCATTTATGAAATAATTATTTTGTTGCATATCATGTTAACATGTATATCATGTTACAGCAATTCTTGGATATAAGTTTCGATCCAACTAAAGTAGGTAATATGTGTATAGTACAGATGAGGACGTTGTGACAGCTATCGACATTTGCTGCTGCGTCCTAGACCTTGATAGAGAAACAATTAATATATAGTATTCCCGCGCGGTTTCCACGAACCGCACGCGGGTTCCTCATTCCTTTTGAAACACCTGCATGGAATCTTGATTTTCCGGAATCTTGATTTCCTGGAATCTGGATTCCCCGTTTTTCAGATAAACAAATAGAATGGTATGACTTCAATTCTTATGGAACAAATTCAATTTACAATTTATATTCTTTCATTCATTCATTCACATAAAATCGCAATCACGCAAACTTATTTTAAGGCAATGAAATATCATAATATGATATCAAGTGTTAACACCGCGACTACACAACCATGACAAATACCGCCGTGACTTTTGGGTTTAATACAATCATGGCAATTACATATACACACAATAAACGTCAAGTCGAGTCTTAAGACTTAACATAGTTCATACCCTACCTAAACGTTACACTATACTAGTTGCCAATTAATCTGTTTTGTTCAACAACTAGATCACCGGTCTTCGCATCGTATAATTTTGGTTATCAACTTGCGTTTACAAATTCATTCCCAATTTTTTATATTTAGATGAAATTAAGTCATTGAATGATATGAGTTCAATTGTTATGTAATAGATTTCAATAGAATAATGCATAAATAATTGGAACTTTTCTTTCACACTGCATACATAATATATTTTCAGAAGACTCTTGCTTAATTCACACAATTTTCATTATGAAAGTTGTGTGTAACATAAATGATAATACATTTTAAGTCAATATTATATCATGCGAGTCTTTGTCTTAATTCTGAGAAAACCTTTAATTAGAAATTTTTGCGAAATATTACTGTCGATGCAATGGAAGTGTTGATAAAATATTGCATGAATTCATTTCCTCAAGTTGATCAATTCCTACGAATTCAAATCTATTTTTACTTCCTGTGCGTTTCCTATTGGTCAATCGGTTCTTAAACGAAATCTAATTGGCTCATCTAAATGTAACAGGAAATTAATCAATTTTCTATCAAATGAATTGATCAACTTGAGGAAAGGAATTGGTGCAATATTTTATCAACACTTCCATTGCATCGACAGGCCAATATAGGAATCATTCCAACTTCCGTTGAAAATTCACGTCATTATTGAACAAACTTTTAAGCTCTGATGCGCTGATACATTGATCACTTTTGCAATCTGCACGCTAGCTATCGCCATCAGATGGTCATGGCCGAAAACTCTGTTCGAATACTACAGTTTGACCCAGCTACAGGGAAATTCAAAGTGGTAACAAAGGAAAACAGTGATAATTTCGCTGGTGTAGATTCGTCCACTCCGGGGTTATGTTTGGCCGCCGATGTGAAAGTATCACATGAGAAAGAAAAGTTAAGTTTGATAAAGACAGTTGAATCGTGGTGGCGGGGAAAAACGAGAAAGGAAGAAGTTGCGTTCGAAACCTTGCGCCTTTCATGCAAATCTGACACGTATCAAGAAGGCCACAGATATGGTGGAGTAATCATTTACCTATACAAAGCCAAAAGCGAGTCAGAATGGAAAAGTGATTGGAGAACCTGCAACAACACTCATTGCAAGACTGGCTATATCGTCATTCAAGACACCGATTCGGAAAATGTTAAGAAGTGGATTGGGAAAGAACCTGGTAAAGTTCACGGAGCTGTCTATAGAAATGCCTTCGGTGAATCTGTGAACGACGCGGATGTCGTTGGCGAAGGTTTTGCATTTCGTAGCAACTTTGAAATAGTTTCACGCACTCTCAACAATGCAAACGATCAATTTCACGACGAGAATGAAACGATGAATAAACCGTCTGCCCATTGCGTGAGAAAGATTGTCACGGAGTATTGGAAGGACGGAGGTTCTTCCTACATCGGACATACTTTTAAAGTAAAAGATTTACTCTGGGATTTTAAGGACTAACTTTAAAGACAATTTGGTATCCATGTGACTTTTTTCTGATAATTGTTATAGCTAGTGTATAGCCTATAGATAAACATACGCAATAACGGATATTCAGTCAGAGACGCTGATATAATTATTAATACATAGTTGAACTTCAGTTTTTAATTCAATCACTATATTTATACCTCAATTACTATGTTTAGAGGACTGATTTAGCAAATTAGATTTTAAATTTCTGTATACTTCTCGTACATGTACGGTTTTGCATAAATTGATTAATTGATTATAATTGTCATGTTACTTTTGTATTTTTTATAAATGTTCGCGCATATGCACTCATATATTTCTCGTGAGTGTGGCATATAATATAGTGATACAAATAAATTTTAACAAAATTACAAATGCAACTAAATGCACTACGGTCGTAAATTTTGACAAAACACGGCATGTATTGTATCAATTTTATTATCAGAAATCATTTTGTTAGTTCACAGAATTTGCATCAGTCAAGATATACTATTACATCATGTGCAGCGTCTTTCTCTTAATTCTGAGAAAACCATTTATGAAATGATTAATTTGTTGCATATCTACATGTTAACAGAGAAACGAAGTGTTACAGCAATGTCAAGGTTGGATATAAGTTTCGATCCAACTAAAATAGGTAAAATGTGTAGTACAATTGAAGAAGTTGAGACATGAGTTACTATAACGACATTCGCTGCGCTTTTGACCTTGAGAGAGAGACAAGGTATAGTATTCCGGGATTCCCCGAACCTCGTGTTCCTGGATTCCTATTTTTAAAACAACTGGAATCTTGATCTCCGGAATGTTGATTTCCAGGAATCTTGATTCCCCTTTTTTTAGATACTAAACCAATATGACTTCAAATTCTTGTGAAACAAATTCAATTTACAATTTATATTCTATAAATATCATATTATTATATATATGTATATATTTCAAGTGTTATAACCGTGTTATGTAACAAATTTCAATTGGATAATGCATAAATAATTGAACTTTTCTTCATACATACATACGGTTTTGCATAAATTTATTAAATATACTTCATATAATTGTCATGTTATTTTTGTACTTTTCTTAAATTTTCGCGTATATGGATGCACTCGTATACTATACATATATAGATGCATGTGTGATGCAGCTGAGCGCTCGTAAATGTATATGCAGAAATTTGCTAGTTAATTCACAGAATTGGCATTACGAAAGTTGTGTGTAACATAAATCATAATACATGTTTAAGTCAATATTATTTTTTTCCAATTTTTTGTCTAGACTCAGATTTCAGCCGTTGGTTCTCGCTCGCACTCGCCCAGTGCGACCGAAGAACTCAACGGCTTGAATCTGAGCCTAGTCTTTGTCTTACGGTCGTGCCAAATATAAGCGTTACGAAAAATGTTGACCAGTTCATTTCCTAACTTCGAGGAGTTCCTCTGAACAATTCCTCAACAATTTGATAAGTTCCTTAAAAAGTTCCTAACTTCCTGTTTGATTGATCAATCAGATTGCTCAAAAATAAAATATAAAATTTGATTGGTCAGTGAAACAGGAACTTTCTCAAATTGTTGAGGAATTGTTCAGAGGAACTCCTTGAAGTAAGGAAATGAACTGGTCAACATTTTTCGACATTTTTCGGAACGCTTCCATTGGCACGACTGTAATTCGGAGAAAACCTTTAATGGGAAATGTTTATAATAGATCAATATATTATAGGCAGTGAGGATTCGTTCCAACTTCCTACATTGTCATTGAGAATTCACGCGATTATTGAACAAGCTTCTAAGTTCTGATACATTTGACACTTTTGCAATCTGCACCATCAGCTGCAGTATCGCAATCAGACGGTCATGGCCGAGAGCTCTGTTACAATACAACATGAGGTTGATCCAGCTACAGGGAAACTCATAACTACGGTAACAAAGACAATCTGTGCTACTCCCGTTTATCAAGATGTGCCCCAACTTCGCTTGGGGGCCGCCATGTTTAACGTACCACGTGAGAAAGACAAGCTTGTGATAAAAGTTGGTGGTAAGGAAAAAGTTGTTGTCAAAACCATGCGCCTTTCATGCCAATCTGACACATACCAAAAAGGCCACAGATATGGTGGAGTGGTAATCTATTTGTACAACGGCAAGTCAGATTGGAGAACTGCCAACAACACTCATGCACTGTCTGGCTATATAATCATTCAAGACACAGATTCGAAAAATGTTAAGCAATGGAGAAGCGAGCCTGGTCAAGTTCACGGAGCTGTCTATAGAAATGCCTTCGGTGAATCTGTGAACAACGCGAAAGTCGTTGGCGAAGGCTTTGCATTTCGTGAAAAGTTTGAAATGGTTTCAGGCGTTTTCAACAACCCGTCGGGCAGTGAATTTCACGACAGTCGCAAAAGGATGAATGAAGCGTCTGTCCATTGCCTGAGAAAGATTGTCACGGATTATTGGAAGTACGGAGGTTCTTCCTACATCGGACATACTTTTAAAATAAAAGATTTACTCTGGGATTTTAAGGACTAACTTTAAAGACAATTTGGTATCCATGTGCCTTTTTTCTGACAATTGTTATAGCTAGTGTATAGCCCATAGATAAACATACGCAATAACGATATTCAGTCAGAGACGCTGATAATTATATTAACACATATAAATAGACTTATAGTTGAACTTCAGTTCTTAATTCGTAGTACTTCAATCACTATATTTATACCTCAATTATACTATGTTTAGAGGACTGATTTAGCAAATTAGATTTTAAATTCTGTATACTTCTCGTACATGTACGGTTTTGCATAAATTGATTAATTGATTATAATTGTCATGTTAGTTTTGTATAAATTTTCGCGTATATGCACTCATGCATTATATTTCTCGTGAATGTGACATATAATATAGTGATACAAATCAATTTTAACAAAATTAAAAATAGGTACGCTAAGCGTACATGTATCTGCTCATGGTGATTGCACTTTGCCAAGGCTTCAATCAACACTCAGTAGCTTGTAAAAAAATTTAAGGGACTGATGTTTAACAGTTGACCAGTTAAATAAAGTTAGATTTATAGTATGTCAAATGAAAGAAAAATAAAATGGCTGATATATATTCAACTTGCAGAAACTAATTCCGGCCATAACGTCACAAAGATGATATTCAATTTTATGATGTTCTTGTTGAATCATCTTAATTTTATAATGTTCTTGCAGGGATGGATCCAGGGGGGGTACTCTGCCCGCTCTGGTGCCGAGTTGTGTCGGTCATGTGTGCCACCCACCCATCAACTTGCTTCACTATTGCAAAGTCTTGCTTGACTACAGTATTTGAATTGTAATTGTTGTTCACAGTTTGCCTATCATCATATTATTACTCAAATTTACGTATCTCATTTTGTTTCTAATAATTTTTGTTTATCATGAAAAATAGGATCTCCCCTCCTGCACCCCCTCTGGCCAGGGCTAGGG